CGGCTCGTCTGCGGTCAAGGGAGCAGCGTCGGGGAGGCTCTGATGAAAGCGGCGAAAGTGCTCGAAGATAGGAGGGAGAGAAATCCGGTGGCCACCATCATGCTCCTATCCGACGGCCAGGACGATCGGGTCCAGAGTAATTCGAACCAACGGCACGAGAAGAGCCACGTCACGTCGACCACGCGTTTCGCGCACATCGAGATCCCGGTCCACGCCTTTGGCTTCGGGAAGAGCGGCGGCTACAGCCACGAGCCGGCGGAGGACGCGTTCGCCAAATGCGTCGGGGGATTGCTCAGCGTGGTGGTTCAGGATCTGAGAATTCAGCTCGGATTCGCTTCCGGTTCGGCTCCGGCGGAGATCTGCGCCGTCTATTCTTGGAACGGCCGGCCCACGGTGCTGAGCTCCGGCTCTGTCCGGCTGGGGGATTTGTACGCGGAGGAAGAGAGGGAGCTGCTGGTGGAGCTGCGGGTCCCGGCTTCGGCGATCGGGTCCCACCACGTGATGTCCGTTAGGTGTCTCTACAAGGATCCGGCCACGCAGGAGGTGGTGTACGGTAGGGACCAGGCGTTGCTGGTCCCGCGGCCGCACGCCGTCGTCCGGTCGTCGGCAGTGGCGGCGGCGAAGGTGGAGCGGCTGAGGAACCTGTTCATAACGACGAGGGCGTTGGCTGAGGGCAGGCGGCTGGTGGAGCACGGGAACAACTTCACGAGCGCGCACCACCTGCTGGCGTCGACGAGGGCGCTTCTGATGCAGTCGGAGAACGGCGGCGCGGAGGAGTACGTGACAGCGGTGGAAGCGGAGCTCGGAGAGCTTCACTGGAGGAAACAGCAGGAGATAGAAGCGGCGTCGATGGTGATGCAGCAGCAGCGGATGAGGAGAGGAGGGGAGAGGGAGGCGGTGGTGATGACGGACGAGAATGGCGAGCCGTTGACGCCGACTTCGGCTTGGAGGGCGGCTGAGAGGCTGGCTAAGATGGCTATGGTGAAGAAGTCGATGAATAGAGTCAGCGATCTGCACGGCTTCGAGAACGCCAGATTCTGAGGTTAATTAAGAAAATAGTTTTTTTTTGTTTTTTTTTTTAAATTCGGTAGCAGACGGCGGGAGTCGGGAGAAAGGGAAATAAAGGGAGAGCCGTGGGAGAGACGGGGGCCCACTTCAATTGATTTTGGAGTGAAGAGGAAATGGTCGAAGTGGAATTATCCACTGTAGCGCCTCCCGCTCTTTTGTCTTCCTTTTCTGTTTGCTTTTAGTTTTGTTTGGACTTTTTTACAGTTAGTTTTGTTTGGTATTGGTAGGGGGATTTCTGTGATAATTTTTCCTTTGGTAAAACTTGAAACTAGAAAAAAGCATTGTAAATTAAGGAATTTGAACGAGTCTTTGAGTAGTGATACTACACTTCGATCCACGAGCATTTGTGCTTTGGTGATTTTTAGTACATTAACTATATTGTTTGAGTTTTGTAAAAAAAAAAAAAAAACTATATTGTTTTTCTTTGAGTAAGTCTTTCTTTGGTTCTTTTGCTCAATAGATATCCAAGAATGGACTAGCAGTGTTCAGAGCAAGTGACAACATAGAAATCAACATAACTAAAATCAACCAAAGTTCTTACCACAAATAGGATAATTTAAACCATTTTCTGCCATAATATGAAAATTCAGATTGTTTGCTAAAAAACCATAGTAAATTGCTATCTCGAGCGAAGTGATGTGGTGGTGTTCTTAATATCGAGGATATGTGTTCTATTAACATGATGCCTTCTTTAACCACTGTTGGCCCATCAAACTCGGCCTTTGGTTGTGAATAGATCTTGGGGTTGTTTGGAAGTTGTGATTCTTCAAATTGATGTATTGGGACAATTAGTGTATTATCATTTGATGGATTGAATCAATTGATGTATTAGGTAAATATCTGGTTTGGAGGTTTAGATTGTGTTTTTGTTCCAAAGGTAAAAAGTTAGTATTGAGTGATTGTGAAGAATCTCAACAAAAAGTAGAGATTGTAAATCCCTCAATATTGAGGGATTGTGGTTGGATCTCCAAATGGTAAATGCATGTATTCTAGTTCTATATAAACAAAAAAAAAACGACTTAATCTCACAAATACATGAATTAGATCAATACACCATTTGAAATCACAACTTCCAAACAACCCCTTAATCTTCTTCGAGCAAATCCATCAGAGCCTAAGATGCTAGAGGAAGAAGTAAGGCTGGACATTTATCTCAATCTTCCTCCAACGTTTGCGTTGGAGCCTGAGACAATGAAAGAAGAAGTAAGGCGAGGTGTGCATAATAGAATGTTGAGTTTGTAGCCACCACCTCTGTCAGGAAACTGGTAGGAAAGAATCGATTGAAGGCGTGATTAATCACTCTACTTAGAGTGTTATTTGCCCCCACTACAAATTGCTGGTAGGCTCGAGCAAACCACCCCCAGGAGTCCCTTCAATTTTAAGTCTGGAAGCAGCAATCTTGCAGACTTCTGTGTTTGTGAAATAGAGAAGGAAAACCGGAAGAAGAAGTAATCTCACGTTCTCAAAAGAGTTATGGCAATCATCTATTTATAGTTGTGAAAACTGGAAGTTACCTTCCGAAGAGTCACATCCTTTCACAAAACAAGGTAGTTACCTCTCACGAAAGGACACATCCTTTCACAGAAAAGAGGGAGTTACCTTTCTTGAAGGACACTTCTTTTCACAATATTAAAACGTTAATTAATTAATATAACTGCCAAAATACTCCATCTTTATACTTTACTTGTCCCATCAATGTCGTATTACAACTCTATTGACTAACTCTAACAATCCCTCACTTAGTCAACAAGAGTTGAGAATACCTGCCTCGAACAAGTAACGCATACATAAAGGTATATTTTCGATTTGAACCTTTACCTAGTGTAAGCAACTCAAAGTTGATAACGAATCAGTGACGGGCTTAAGCCTAGGAGTCACGATCCAAAGCTATAACCGGAGATGCCACACACGTACTTGTCTCTTCTCTAAATCACAACCACCAACTAGGGTAGCACTATTATGGCCATGTGCTAATCCTGTTTCATGAGCATACACAAAAGTTGACCTCTACTTTTGTTAGAGCGGCACCACTCTAAATGCTCACATAGGTGACATTCCAAATGAATTCATTAAGAGTTCTATAACTCATCTCAAGAGTTCTATAACTCAACCTTCTTTGGACTAATTTACTTGTACAATAAAATAGTACCTCAGTTATAGTAACTTGTTATTACCACATTGAACCTTTTAATTAGTGAATACCTAAAGAAAAGGTTGGGTTCCCGTTACTTCTAACTACACAAGAGGTCTCAATCCCTTCCCTTGGGATGTCTCATAGATCATGCCTCTTGGCAATCCTTTGGTAAGAGGATTTGCCACATTATTGAGCGATCTTACATACACAATAGAAATGATTACATTAGTAATCAAATATCTAACATGTTCATGTCATAGGCGAGTAGCTCTAGATTTACCATTGTAAATATGTTATAAGCTCTCGACAAAGTAGCCTCATTATCACAAAAGACAGAAATGGCTGGCATCGGTTGTGGCCACAACTCTGTACTTAACAACATTTCTCTTAGCCATTCTACCTCTTTTCCAGCCGCCGCAAGGGCTAGAAATTCATCTTCCATGGTGGAGTGTAATACACATTTTGTTTCTTCGAAACCCAAGAAACAACTCCACCACCTAGTATAAAAATCTACCCATTGTAAATTTATTATCACTAGCACTTGTTATCCAACTATCATGAGAAACATCTCCCCCACAATTCTCCCACTTGCCAAACTATCATGGAACAATTCCATTTTATTTTGCATTACTTATTGAACTTTCAACCGCTACATTAATCTAATTGTTTACCAATGGTATGGACTTATTAAGTTAGCATACCACAAACAATTCAGATATCATTAGAAATATCATCTAATAACTTACCAATGGAATTAGATATATATGCATGCATGAATGATCAGATTCCTTTCTCATCATAATCTAATCAACTTTATGCAATCTACTGCCATCCAAAGTAATTTGACTAATTATAAATGTTTAAGCCACAACACTCCGCACCTAGATTCTCTTTCCTCGCCGACCGCGATTACCACCAGGCGCACGAGTCCTGCACAAACAAACGCCTAGTGGGCTTGGTTCGCCCGTAGCACTCCGAAGTTTAAGTCAGAGTCTGCTTTTAGAGAGAGAAGTAAGCTGAGAATTTTAGTGAGAGAAGCCAATCTGCGTAAATGCTACCTACCGAGTACTATTTATACTTGTCGAGGTCCCAACGGTCTTCCTGGCACTTCCACCCACGTCATCTCCTCATTTAATGCGTGGTACGGTACAGCAGTCAGGCGCCTATACGTGGCCGCTTCAGAACGTCCCGAGAGGGGCGCCTAGCAGGGACCACAATTGCCATGTGGCTCTTTTCCCTGCTCGCCCTTCCGTACCCCTTGTCCTCATGCCTCTTTTGTCGCATGCGCCTGCCCTGCCTTGAGAAGCCTAACCAATTGCTTGGGCCTGTTGAAACCTAAATTATTTCTTTTTGGGCCTGTTTCACTATTCCCTCCTCATGGGCTTGGGCCTGTTTATACTTCCCCAACAATTGTCCCCCAGTTAGGCGCTCATAATCGATGGGCGCCTAACTATTGACCGATACACCTAACCCTTTCTTTGCACGCTTTTCACAATCATGCCCATTTCTCGTACGCCCTTCAGGCTATCTCTCTATACGCTCTTGTCCCCCCGTGTCCCCACCATGCCGATTCATATCATCCCTCTTTAGCAGGCGCCTATGCACTTCCACATAGCAGGCGCCTAACAGATTACACCCGCCCCCCCTCACCGTGCGGTTCAAAATTTGAAATTTGATTTTTTTTTTCAAAATTTGAAACGAACGGTGAGGATCCAATCTTACGGTCGGGCGCGTCTTCCAACACTAACCCGTTGGACTCCCCGCCCATATAAATACTCCGGTCGCTTTCTTCTCCACTCATTCGGACAAATCTCTCTCTCTCTCTAACTCTCTCTCTCTAAACGCGGCCGCCTGTGCACCTGTTGTAACATAGAAATAAAGAACCAACATGTCTCGCCGATCCGACTCAGGCGCCCCCTCCTCTGACGCACCGAAAGATACCGGCTCGGCGCCTGATGTTCTCTCGGTGCTGGAGAAACACTTTTCCCCCGATCCCCTTCGCGAGTCAGGCGGATGGACGCCTCGCACCAGGAACCAGGCGCCTGCAAAGGATGATGTGCCCAAAGCAACTGTTACCCCGGAGGCGTCGACCAAGGAAAATGCGCCCGTTGCTCCTGTCATCTCGGAGGCGCCTACCTTGAAAGATCCATCAATTGAGGAAGAGGAGACTCCTCGCCCCCAGGCGCCTACAGTAGACGTTGCACCCGACGCGGCGGCGCCGTCAAATCCCACACCGAGTAAGTGGTTCAAAAACCCTAAATCATGACACACCTTTTTTTTTTAGGCGCCCATAGCCACTAGGACGTAGCATTGACACTGGCCGTTTCCTCGAACCTTTTAGGCGCTGCGCCCAGTCCTCACCGATCGGCTGCATTAGTGATGTCGCCGATGTCTTCCGATTCGGGCGCCCCCGAGGATGGATCCGTCAAGATTAGGAGGTGGGTGGATACTTTCCCCTCGGGGCAGGCGCCAGTTGAGACTAGTCATTTGACCGTGATCGAAGCTGGTTCTGATCACGTTTCTACCGTGAAGGCGCTTGAGTTAGAAAATTTGGCCATCTCTATGCAACTTCCTCTTACCTGGTCCTTTGCGCCTGCACCTCGCGCGGCCCGAATTGGCGTGATTGGTCCCCGCTGGCTTGGTATTTACCGAGAATATTTTCGGTTTGGTCTCCGCTTTCCCCTGGACCCGGTTCTTGAAGGCATATTGTCTACATGCAAGTGCTCCATTGGGCGCCTCTCTCCCTCCGTCTTTCTTGTGCATATTTTATTTAGACTTAAGTGTAGGCAGCATAACGTCGAGCCGTCGTTTAACCTTTTCCACCATTTTTTTAAGATGCAATATAGCGATAACTGCCTTTCAATTCAGAGGCGCCTAGACCTCCCCGGCCACTTCCTTGTAGAGGCGCCCAAACTTGGTAGAGAGTGGTTTAGGAGCTTCTTTTTTGTTAAACCACGCAAAGAGTCTTTTTACGAAAGTGGCGCCCCGTTCACGAGAGGGTGGGTGATGGGTGACCATGAGGCGTTCAACGTCGAGGTATCCCTGACGAAATCGGAGAAGGAGGGCGCCCGACTTATTTCCCTGCATCCTGTTTTCCTTAAGTCCACTGAGGCTCGGACGCCTGTTCTACACGAATATTATCGTGACGGTGGGCTCTTGCTTTGAATGCGCCTGCTCTCTTTCCTTATTTTGTTGCATGTCTGTTTTACATGTTCCATTTGTATTTGTTTGGCAGGTTCGGACTTCACCTCCGTCGCGTCCCTGATGAAGTCCCAGTTTGCAAAGCTGGGCTTAGTGCCCAAGAAAGCACCCAGCTCAAGGAAGGGTGCCAAAAAATCCGAAGGGGGGAGTTCCAAGTCGAAGAAGCCTGCTGCTGCTGAGAAACAGGCGCCTAAGCCTGCGGGGAGAAAGGGAAGGGGCGCCCAACCAAAAGAAGCAAATCTCCCAAGAGGGTTCAGGCGAAACAGATTCCCAGTCCTGCGGCTTCCAATGCTGGAGATGACGCCCTTGATACATGGGAGGCGCCCCATGTTACCGAGGCCACTGATGCCTCGGCGCCTGTTATTGACTTGCTGCAGGGGGATGATGTTGCTGAAGATGAAACACCCTTATCTCAAAGATTGAAGAGAAACTTGGAGGGCGCCCAAGTTGAGTTGAGCAAGCGCGCCCGTCTGGACGACGATGCGGAACTGCCCGAGTCACTGAAGAAATGGCTTCAGCCACCCAAACACAAAGTTACTCTGGTCTGCTCGGATCGTGCTGCATTGGAGCGGAGCGCTGCCGTCAACATGGCGCTGTCCGCTGTAGATGTGCTCCTGGCGCCCCTCGAACTGGCAGCCGCTGACCCCTTGGCTGAAGTGTGCCTCTTAAACGCCCAAGTAAGTTTTTATTTTATTTTTTATTTATTTATTTTTTAGGCGCATAACCTGTCGATTTTGCAGATGATGTTTGCTGCGCAGAAGGCTATCAAGGAACGTGAGGCCTTGCGCGCCGAGGCCACCAAAGCGGTCACCTCGCTTGGCGTGTCCCAGGACAACCTCGAGACTGCGAGAAATCGCCAAGAAGAACTCATAAAGATGTGCGAGGATGCCCAACTCGAGGCCGCTAAGAGCGCCTCACTTTTGCAGCGCACAGTTGATGAAGAAAAGGCGAAGTTGCGTAAAGAGTATGAGGCGCAGATCGAGGATGAAAAGAGGGCGCATGAGGAGACCAAGGTGAAGCTGGAAAAAGAGCTACTCGACTCAGAGAAGGAGTCAGGCGCCTACAGAAGTGAAATCGACATCCTTCGCCAAGAAAGGCGTGCACTGAAGAAAGACAAGAAAGTGTTGGGGAGAGAGAATGAGAAGCAACAGAAGGAGATTCAGGCGCTCCAGGAGGTGAAGAAGGCGCTTGAAGATGAGAAGAAAGCGCTCGAAGCGCGGGCAGTGGATGGCAGCTCATCAGACTCAACTCAGGCGCTTAAGGCTTCGGCGTCTTTGAACAGCATTTTGATCTTGCGAAAAAAGATGCTGGCCAATCATCCTAACATTGATTGGGATGTCAACTCCATGGTGAGTTTCGTGATTTCCTACATGGAAAGCGGGCGCCCAATTGCAGATGAAGCGCCTGATGATGATGGTGATGACTCTAACTCCTCCGAGTCCGGCAGCGGTTCGGCCGAGTAGTCGTAGGCGCCTAATAACATTATCTATGTATTAAGTGACCATTTTATTTTCCGCTTTGCCTTGTTTGATGACTCTTTTGCGCTTAGTTGACTAGCTATTTTATTTCGCTTAAGTTATTTCTCCCCTTGCCTAAGTTATTTTTAAAGCCTGTTTTTCGTATGCAACTTTACCCGCTTTTATACAATGAGGGCGCAATAGAGTGGGCGCTTAGCATGATACTGGCGCAAAGGTGGGCGCTTTACACGAGGAGGGCGCTATAGAGTGGGCGCTTTAATGAGGAGGGCGCTATAGAGTGGGCGCTTTTGCTGCATCTTTTCCAAAAGCTCTATTTCATATTAATTAATCCGATTTCTCACAAGTACGGGCGCAAAAGAGGGCGCTTTACAAAATAACGGGCGCAATTGGGAAGGGCGCTTTGATTCTACGGCGCGTTAGGGCGCTTTTGGAGACATATAAAGAAAAAACCTACTACCCACTGGAGATTAGCCACTGACTACCTCCTTCTGAGGCGCCTACTCTTCCTCATCCTCAGCGTCCATCATGCTTAACTCCCCGGCCTCATATCTTCGCAAGTTTTGTGCATTCCACGTTCGCTTCACGCTCTTACCCGACAAGGTTTGCAACTTGAATGTACTTGGGCCAACAACCTCCTGAACACGATATGGACCTTTCCACTTTGGTGCCAATTTTCCCTCGGTGGCCTTGGGGCGGAAATCACGTTTTAACACCAGGCTTCCTTTCACAATGTTGTGCGCCCGCATCTTCTTGTTGTAATACCTTGCTACCTTCCCTTTCATTGCTTCCAAACGCAAGGCTGCCACCTCTCGGCGCTCATCCAATAGATCCAGCTCGTCAATACGCTCCTGGACATCCATTGATTCATTTCGGTGGGTCATTCTGAAGGTAGGCACCCGCATTTCCACCGGCAAAACAGCCTCGCTGCCATAAGTCAATGCAAAAGGTGTTTCTCTCGATGCCACCTTTAAGGTAGTCCTGCGCACCCATAAGACACTCGGCAGCTCTTCCACCCACTTGCCCTTTGCCTCCTCTAACCGTGTGTGCAACCCGTGTAATATGCTTTTGTTAGCCGCTTCCGCCTGCCCATTGGCTTGAGGGTAGGCCACAGACGAGAATCGCAAAATCACTCCATTTTCATCACAGAATTCGACGAACTTCTTGCAATCGAATTGCTTCCCGTGGTCAGTGACAATGGATTCCGGGAGTCCAAAGCGTGCAAAGATGTTCTTCTTGGTAAACTTCCGCACCTGCGCTTCCGTGATTGACGCCAATGGTTCTGCTTCAATCCATTTGGTGAAGTAGTCCACTGCGACAATTAAATATTTGAACTGTCCAGGCGCCTTTGGTAACGGTCCCAAGAGGTCCATACCCCACTGGGCAAAAGGCCAGGCCCCTACATTCCCTTGCATGGGTGCAGCTGGGAGATGTATGTCGTTAGCGTGAATTTGGCATTGGCGACATGCCGCCACGTGCTTCCGAGCGTCCGCCCGTATTGTAGGCCAGTAATATCCTTGACGGAGCAAAATCTTTTCAAGACTTCGAGCACCTGCATGCATACCACACGTTCCCTGGTGAACCTCATTGATCGCCTGTAACCCCTCAGCTTCAGTAAGACATCGCAGGTAGGCGCCTGAGTGTGATCTCTTGTATAACGTCCCATCCACTATGGTGCACCTAGCTGCTTTCCTTCGTAGGCGCCAGGCCTCTTTCGAGTCCTCGGGAACCACCCCTTGTGTGAGAAAGAGCCAAATTGGTGCCATCCAACCTCCTTCAAATCCTGATGATATGGATGCCATTATCACGTCCTCGTGGGGCACCTCCTTCGTTACAATCACCGTTCGATTTTCCTCGAAATCCAGCGCTGTCGCCAGTTTGGACAGGGCATCTGCATGCGCATTTTCTTCCCTTGGGACATGCGTGAATGTGACTTCCTGAAACCAGGCGCATTTCTTGCGTACAGAGTCCACATAGGCGCCCAACGTTTCCTCCTTTACCTCATAGACTTCATTCAGTTGGTTGACAACTAGTGCTGAGTCGGATTTGATATTCACCTTCTGAGCGCCCAATTCCCTGGCCATGTGGAGCCCTGCCAAAACAGCCTCATATTCTGCCGCGTTGTTTGTTTTAAGCGTCGCAAAGCGCAGGGCTATTTCATGTAAGGCGCCCAAGGGACTCACAAGGACAATTCCCGCCCCCGCTCCTACTTGACTTGCTGCACCATCCACATGCACCTGCCAACATTCTTCGGCTGCTATTCCTCCATATGAGACACCCTCTGCGATGAAATCAGCCATATCAAATTCGCTCAGTTGTACCGCCCACTTCACCAGGCGCCCTGATACATCCATGGACCCAAGGATGGTTCGGAGAGGAAGGTTTGTGAGAACCACAATGCTGTGAGCTTGGAAATATGGCTTGAGCTTGTTTGCCGCCATCACCACTGCCAGCGCAGCCTTTTCTATAGGCGCATATCGTGTTTCGTGGCCTACCATGGTACGACTAACATAATACACTGGCCTCTCTTCATTCGTACACGGGTCTCTGGATACGAGAACCGCACTCACAGCAATGTGGGATACTGCTATATACAAATATAAAACTTCTTTGGCCTCGGGCACTGTCATCACCGTAGGAGCCGTGA